AACCAATATTTTTCAGGAGAACCCTATATGATATTTATACCAATTGATAGGAAATCCCATTCTCTATCGATTGGTATAAATATCATCTAGGGTTGTTTCAGAAAAATTGGGTCAAAATATGCAAAAAGAAGAAAAAAATCGACCAGGAAAGCCGAAAATTTGGATCCTAAGATTTCGGTTTTCCGGGTCGAAGCGATTTGAAATAAAATTTTCTTTCAATTTCTCAGATTTTATATTTTCAACTGGCTAATAATTCCCCAGGTTTTCTAGATGCGTATCCTCAGTGAAAACAGTTTACATGCCTAAAAACCCTAGCCAAACCCCAAAAACACACAACCATTCCAACTTGTATACCGTTCGTTTACCCAATTATTAGTCAGCCAAAATTTCCGAACGTTTGAAAAAATTCCAAAAACCAGCTCCCCTTTTATAGAAAACTGTTACAAAATTCTCCTGTTTGACATGGTTTTTGAGACCCTGCCCTTCCTCTTTCCACCCTTCCCGTCTCCACAAATATTTGCTGGAAACCTTTCTTTTGTACTTTTTCCCCGCACTTCCCCAACACATTTCACCCAGTAGGGGGGAACAATATACCATCAATCAGACGATGTTCTCGTCTTCATGACAGTCCCCCCTACCCCCTAAACCATCATCATCATGAGGAGATGGTATGAAACCTCTTCTTTCTCTTCTAACCGCTAAAAAAAGTCTTCAATATCTCTAAATCTCCTGTTTTCCCATGCTATTTTTTGGCATTGTTTACAAGGTTACGATATCACTTCACCACACCCATTCTTCTTCTCAATTTCTTGACGAAAAGGGAAACCAATCTGATTTTTTTTCGAAAGATTTATTATCAAAAGTTCTGTTTGATTCCATTGTTTTATATTTCAAAATGTGTCTTTGTTTCTTTTTTTGGGGCAGTTTGGGGCCAGAGGGGGGGACAGGGGGCAGATGCGGAAATGAAGTTGATAGGAGGTGATAGGAGGAGGTGATGACAGTTTTTTGTTGGTTGTTTAGTTGTTGTGTGTCTCTTCTTTTGTTTAGACCTTCTTGATTTTTGTTGTTCGTGGGAATTTATCGATTTTTTCAGCCTTTTTTTGAGAAATCAGGGTCCAAATTGGTCCTGGAAGGTTTTCAGTCATCCATTTTTTTTTGGATGACTTTGAAAAATGTTTAAAAGAAAAAATACCCCTGGTGGGCTCGAACCCAGCGTGTCTGCTTGATAGCCAGGAGCTCTACCAGCTGCGCCACCCGGAAAGCCGCGCGGAACAGCCAAAGAAGGCGCGCGCCTCCGTTCTCCGCGTGGCGCAGCTGGTAGTGCACGCGGCCACCAATCCTGACACCTAGGTTCGACCCCCACCGATGGCAGATATTTTTGTTTTTTTTCTGGAATACCTAGAACCTCCCAAACCCATCAAAACTATACAAGAATACTCCCATTCACTCTTATCTATGTCTAGATCTTCTCACATTTCCTCTCTCCCATTTTTTTCCAGTTAACAACCCACAACAAACAAACCAAAGCAAAAAAAGTTTGGGTTTATTTGGGTGTAAGCAAAGGAGAGAGTAACTCAATAGTTTTGGCGCCTCCCTCCTCCTTCCTCCTCACACGCTCTTTGTTTCATTTCCGGAGCATCATCATCACCATCATCTCCCATTTTTTCGTGTTGGTTGCTTCATCGTTTCAATGTTTACAAATTCAATGCCACACACACTCTGGGGGGTTGCTGGGAGAGGGGAGAAGAGGTCATTGTTCTGGAAATCTGTTTGGTTTTTGAAAATTTGTTTCCAAAACGGTTTGGACAAGTTTGATGAACTTTTTCTGGAACAATCCTATGTGATATTTATACTAATAAATAAGGAATTTTTTGATCTACACATTCAATTTTCAAGTTCCAAAAGTTCTGGAACAAAAAAATCATCTACGGTCAAGAATACTGGAATTTTGGTCCCTCTTTTCTGGGAAATTCCACAAAACCTTAAGGACTTCAGAATGTGAGCTTGTAGATCAAAAAATTCTCTATCGATTGGTATAAACATCACATAGGTTTGGAGCAGAAAAACTGGTAAAAAATGTGAAAACAAAAAATTTTAAAATTTTTGACTCCATTTTTTCTGATACAACTCCTTATGATATTTACACCAATCGATAAGAAATTGTTTGATCTACAATTTCTTTTTTATTTCTCAAAACCTGCTAAACCCTCAATTTCCCCAGAACCCCTGAATTTAGGACCCAAAAAAATACAAACAAAAAAACAAACAAAAAAAAAACCACATCCTGTTGAAAAGCCACTCGATCATTTTTTGACTTATTCGCTTCTTCTCCTTGTTGTCTATTTCTAATATTTACCCATCCTTTGGTCCTAAAACCCCTATGCTCCGCCCCCTTCTCCCCTTCTCAAAATGGTCCCCAGTGTCCAATAATTTTTGAAACGCCGCCAAAACGAAATAGCACGTGGGATTGAGAGACACTAGAGACAATTCGAGATTCATTAGAGTCTCATTTTGAATAGAAGGAGGAATAGAAGACGACGTTTGTTGTCTTTTGTGTTCCTCCGTTTACTACTATACACTTGTGGTCCTTTTTTTTGAGGGACAGGGGGCAAGGGGGTACTGTAGGCAATTTTTTTGTTGCTTCATAAAATATTTTTGGTGTCAGATTTCTTGAGAAAAGGTGTTAGTTTACATTCTGACACATATTCAGATTTTTTTTTTGGTTTTTGGGGGTGGAGCCTAGGGTCATGGTCCAAGAAAGAATTTTTTTTCAGAATTTTTTTTCGAATAAAAAATTAGTTTCAGCCAAGAAATTATGGAAGAAAACCGAAAAAAGGTATTAGAAGACTGGGTTCGTGTAGTCTGCGTGGACAATTTTTCGAAAAAAAAATTTGATTTTACGGTTTTTTAAAGATGTTTTTTGCCGAGTTTTTCATCTGTTTTTGTTCTGAATAACTCGATAAAAACATCCAAAAAAAATTTTTTTTTAGGTTTTTCCGTTCCAAAAAATTTTTCGAAAAAATCTCAGGTCGTGTAGTCTGCGTGGACAATTTTTCGAAAAAAAAATTTTTTTTTCAAAAAAATTTTCAATGCTAATTTCAACCGGTTTTCCCATCCGTTATTCATCTGAATAACTTTTTTTAAATAATATCGAAAAAAGTGTATTTTTTCGGTTTTTTCGTACCAAAAAGTTTTTCGAAAAAAAGTTTCGACCGTGTAGTCTGCGTGGACAACTTTTTCGAAAAATGTGAATTTCGATGTTTTTGCTATTTTTTACCGGTTTTTCATGACTTTTTCATCTAAAGACTCGAGGAAAGAATATCGAAGAAAGCGTATTTTTTCGGAATTTCCGTTCCAAAAAATCGAAAAAGAATTTTTTCGATCGTGTAGTCTGCGTGGACAATTTTTTCGAAAAAATGAGATTTTCTATGTTTTTCAATGTCTTTGACGGGTTTTTATCCGTTTTTCGTCAAAAAAATTGATGAAAAAATTTCGAAAAAAGTATCTTTTCGGTTTTTTCACAATAGAAAATTTTTCGAAAAAATCTCAGGTCGTGTAGTCTGCGTGGACAATTTTTCGAAAAAATTTGATTTTCGATATTTCTTCTTCGGATTCACCGGTTTTTTCATCCGTTTTTCATCGAAAAAAAAATTGGTGAAAAAACTTCAAGAAAAATTTTTTTTTGGTTTTTTTCCGTTCCAAAAAAATTTCGAAAAAAATTGTTCCGGTATTTTCTTTTCATAAAGTTCAGAAAAAATTTCCGATTTCTCAAAAAATCTCCTAGGGGCGGAGCCTAAAGAACCCAAGACCCTTAGAATCGTTCCTCCTCAAGTTTCTAAGAATGTCCTTCCTCCCCCTATTTGGGGGATTAACTTGGCGGGTGGTCTGTTTAGGTTTTGTTTAGACTTTTCTCTCTCTCTCTCTCTCTCTCTCTCTCTCTTCCTAAAAATCTATATGTATAATATCGGGTTTCGATTTCTTTTTCTCCCCGAAAACCACCCATCAACGCGCGTTTTTCATAATTTGAGAACTTCAACACCTGCCCTCATGGTGCATTGCATTAGTCAGGTGTGTGTATGAAAAGTTTCTCACTTAATTATATATCTTTCCTCGGTTAGAGGAGATTTGAGGAGAGGAAATTTCGTTAGGTTAGCTGAACTGAGAATTGGCTATATAGTCGGTTAGGTAGGCATGGATTTTTGGTGAGGGGTACTGTAGATTAAGAATTTTTCAAAATAAAATTTGGTTTTGTGGTTTTTATATCGATAGTAATTTTTTTTGCTCTACGAATCTGATTTTATGTATCCAAAGCGACTTTTTTTGACGTTTTTTTGTCGTTAAAAACTAAACATTGGGTCCTCAGATATTTTTTTTCAAAAACTAAACTTTCCAGATTTTCGATTATCTAGACCCTTTCTGACTCAGCTATTAGCCTCCTGAAAATTCTAAAAATAGGACCCCTCCCCTAAGCTCCGCCCCTCTTCTCCGTTTAACACCTGGACTTCTATTTACACCACTATACGTTACCTTTTGTTTTTTTTTTTTCATTTTTCACTAAATGTTTAGTTTTCCTAGAAAAGGACACCTCTTTGTTCCATCCATTTAGTTTTTGTTCTCTTTTTCTTTCCAAAAAAAAAAACAATTGTCAGCTCTCGTCAAAAGACATTCCGAATGAATATTGGATGTGTCCTTCCCATTTCCATCTGTTTTTGTTCATTGCTCTCTCTTTTTCTCTTTTTTTTCTGACAGCTCCGTTCCATTTGTCTTCTTCCCCAGTCCGTCTTTTATTGCTTTGGAAATCTTGATTTTCGTTTTTTTTTTTGGATTTTTGAATTCTGAATTTTTCAAAGTACGCAAATTAGCGTAGGATGTAGTGTAAAAAAAACAAAAAGAATTGCCACCTTTTGGGGTCGAACCTACCTATCAAAGTTTGGTAGCCGCGTGCGTTACCGGCTGCGCCATGCATGCAGTGGCGGCGCCGCGCCTTCTTTGGCTGTAATGCGCAGGTGGCGCAGTCGGTAGCGCATCTGACTGTCAAGCAGACCGACCCTCAGGTTCGAACCCGCATGGTGCCAAAATATTTTTCCTTTTTTCAAATTCCATCTTCCCCGGTTCCAATACACTCCTGGTCAAAATAAGCGCTGCGATCCTACTAAAAATGAAAAAACAAAAATACTGACCGACTCTGGGGTCGAACCTACCTATCGAAGTTTGGTAGCCGCGCGCGTTACCGGCTGCGCCACACATGCAGTGCCGGCGCCGCGCCATTTTTGGCGGTTACGCACAGGTGGCGCAGTCGGTAGCGCGTCTGACTACCAATCAGACCGGCCCTCAGGTTCGAACCCACCTGGTGCCAAAACATTTTTTCATTTTTTCTTTGCTATTTCTCACCACCCCCTGGTCAAAAAAGCGGCTTCCCAAAAACTTTTCGGAATGTTCTCTCCCTTCAAACAATTCTCATCCTTTGTAATTTGCATTGCGCATGTTTCCCTCCTCCCTAGGAACTACCAAAGACAAATAATGTGATAAGCGGATCGTGTGCTCCACTTGTTTCTCTTGGGGAGGGTGGAGGGAAGGCATGAGGAGCACAACGTTTTTTGGTGGCATAGGAGGCTTTGCCTGTCGAGAGGGGAACACGTACGTGTGTGTTCACTGAGCTTGTTAACGGAGTTTAGGCTTAACTTTTGTGGGGAAAAGATGTTGGGGCAGAAAAAAAAATTTTTTTTTGAACTTTTGGGCCCATTTTTCATTTTCTAATCTACCTTATTTGATCTTTTTGTACCAAATTTCAATTTCAACTGTATCAAATTAGTTGAACCACTAATTCTCTGTATCTTTTTGTCGGTTTTGTTTTGACAAACTTCAACGATTACCCAAACCAGTTTCCCCTCTCCTTCGAGGGGAACTAAGAATCGTGTCGGTTAGAAATTCCTGATACTAACACGGATCATGTGAACAGTTGTTCTAATTACTGGTTACTTTTTGTTGTCTTCCGATACTGTCAGTTAGTTCAGCTGGGCAATTCTACCTTAAAGGCGCAAGAAATTTTTCCAAAAACCCAAAAAAAAAATTGCCGATCCTTCCCAATTTCCAAAGTGTATCCTACCCAATTCTTCCCATTTTCACTATACTTTTCGTTTCTTTTTTCATTTCTTTCCCATCTTTCCCTTCCTCTTCCTCTCCAAAGAAAAAAAACAACAACAATGACTTCCCATCCATCCCACCCCCCGTTCAGAAGTGCATCATCATTCACTCTGCCTTTTTTGAACTCCCTCCAACCTCCCAACGGCTCTCGATCCTCTAGGGATTCCATGAGGTTTCTAAACAACAATATAAACAGATTGTTGTGTATAGTTCCAGTTATTCTAGGTAGCCTAAAGGGGGTTAGGCACAGATTAAAAAAAATATACGGTAGGTTAGTTTTGCCGTAGCTGCTACTGTTTCTTTCCGACACTTCACCCGGTACTGCATGTTCGGAGCAGTATATCTCTGTTGCCATTGAAAATTTTGGAAAGTGCTCAACTGATAAAATGTTCTTCAACAAATTATGGACACTTTGTTAGTTAAAAACTTTTTGATAGCTCTAAAGACAACTGAGATATGCAGCTCTGAACATAGGGCCCTTCATGGATCGGTCAGGCTAGTAGGACTGCATGTTCAGAGCAGCATATCTCGATTGCCAATGAAATTTTGGAAAAGTGGTCAAATAACAAAATCTTTATTAATACATTTTATACATTCTGTTAGTTAAAAACTTTTTGATAGCTCTAAAGACAACTGAGATACACTGCTCTGAACATGTAGTACTTGATGGGATTTTCAGTTAAGGAGGTAGCTGCATAGCTAGGGTTAGTTAGTTGTGGCTTAGCTGCTTACCGCGTAGTTTGTAGCTGGATAGTGCTAGTGAGCTGCATTGGGAGTATTCAGGTGCTGGTAGCTGCTTAGTTAGTTGCTCAGTACATCGCTACCTACTCGGTTAGTACTGTTTAAGACACGTTCTCTGAGAAACTCGAGGAAGCGTCACTTGGCTTATGTACAAAAGTTTCAAACTGGTCCAAGTGTTCTGATATTTTTTGTGTGTGTCACCCCAACACTACTTATACTTATGCCACATAATTTTTTGAGCTCCGCCCCCTTTCAGATGGTGAACCGAGATCATAGGTCCAAAAAATTAACTTTTTTCTCGGAAGAGATATTGACTAGATCCAAACTGGAATCGATTGCTGGTACCATTTGAATGTTTTTTTGTGTTCAGAGCAAAATTCTATCATCACGTCTTCAGGCATAAAACTGCGTTTTTCTGCAAATTTAGCTGATTTTTGGCAGAAATGAAGATGCGGCGGGCCGGGGACCATATCAAGCCAAGCTATTCTCATCGGTATATTAATTTACGTCACCAATGTAGTCAAACCCCCACTGGTTGGACCCGGAAACCGATCCCATAAAGGGTGAAAAACTCGATAGTATTGAAAATATCTCCAAAAATCCATGTATCCCTATACATGGACAAAATGCAAAATTCAAAGATTTTGATATTGTTTATGTTTTGGGTAGTACTAGTCATCAGTTGTTCACTCCCGAAGTATCACCCTCCCACCTCCCTCTGGAGCCATGTGGCATCGCTCTGAAAAGTCATACCTGGGGAAAACTTTGATCGATCATAACTTTGTGAATTTTCAACCGATTCGGCTAATCTTTTAACTATTTGATAGCTATTGAATTGGTGCATAAAAAAGTCAACTGGAGCCTTTTTCAATTTCGCTGAAGAGAAATGTTATTTGTACAAGAGGACAAGATTGTATTTCTTTTGTTTTCATTATGAT